ATTTATTGATGTGGGTTTAGTAACACTTTAAAGTGGACTGCTACTGATATACACCTACACAATACTAAATTTAGAGAGTGTAGTCAATAGTCCCTAAGAAAATCTAGCATGAAAAAAAAAATGCTTTGTAAAAAGACAATAGTGCATCATGTGCAACATATTTTTTTTTTTAATTTATGTGGTTAGTAAACAGCCTGAACTTTGGCCAATGTACATTTTGCTTCCTAATGTTCATACTAGTGGGATCACTAAAAGGGACAACAAATACAATATAATTAGTTAAATGGTGAAAAACCAAGATCCTTTTTTTTTGGCCTTGCTAAATATAGAAATCTAAAAAACTACAATGTAGCTGGCTTCTACCTTCCACGTGAGAACATGTATTCTCGTTAAGTGGCTGATCAAACAGACTAATGACGTACCTTCTGTCAAATTGCCAACAAGCTGTATGAAATACGTGAAATTAAATGGAAACTGATCTACAAATCAATTATTAATGTGCCTCTTACAATGGAAGAATGAGAATAATGTAAGCTGCATGATCTAGTTTCAAAGGAGGCCATACTGATGACACACTGATATTTTAATGTCACATTCAGACAGTTTTTTATGAAGAACACAAGGAGGTTTTTTACTTTCGAGGCTTTCTATCTGGCTACACATACAGAAAGGGGAGGTATGCCAGGTATCAGATATCTAGCCTGAGGAGATTGGTGCGCAACCAGGGATTTCTACTGCATCCAATTACTGTCACTATCTGCTGGAGAGAAAATGATTAGGTAAGAAAAATGCAAAGGGAAGCCCATATCTTAACCTCTATGTTGCTGGGAAGCTTAGTCAGCACAGGTAAGGTTGTACAATAACATTGCACCAATACTGGATCATTAAGCATTCAGTCAATGATGACTTGCACTGAATGCAGCAGTAGTATAATAGAGTATAATGATTAGGACATTTTAATTATAGAAATACATTTCAAACTGTAGGTAATCATATGCACACTGTTTATACTGCAAATAAATTCCTTATAGAATATTGTCCGGGAGGATGGGTGGGGGTTTGGGGAGTTTGTCTTCTACCTTTCTAAAGATAGTCAATATTACCCACCATATTTGAAAACAGCACCAAACTGGCACCACATGCCAAAGCAAAAGAAAGGCTTGCAAGCATAAATCTGAAAATTATATTTTATATAATATTATCTGCCATAACCCAATGACCTGTTCAAAATACATCTAAATCTGGATGGTCAAAGGTGCCATGCCTATCCTGGAAATTGATACTATGTAAAAGAGAAACAGATAAAACCTGGTAAATGTATAACAACAACAAAATATACCCTATATATACTAATACCAAGAACAGTTTGAAGCACCGAATGGGGAACTGAGCTCTCTCAATCAACATTAAAGGAGAAGCACAGTCAAAGTTTGCTTGGCTGTACTTCTGTGGATCTCCGGAGTGCAGTTTGTTCTGCACTCCTGTGACCTGTTTTCAGCTGTCAGCAGACTAAAGTCTGCTGTCGGCTGACGTCACTCAGCCAGTCCAGGCTGGGGAAAGATCTACTCTAAAATTGGGATCCACCCAATTGTCTGGACCAGCACCTGGCTCAGCCTCTCAGCTATCCACTGAGCGCCTGAGCCAACCACTCCCTCCCCCTCCGCTCCAGTGAGCACTGGGGGGGGAAGACAGAGCAGAGAGCAGTGTTTGACAGTGACTAGCTCTCTACTCACAAATCACTGAGAACTGAGCGATCAGAAACCACTGATCGCTCAGTTCTCAGCCTTACAGCCAGAGAGGGAGAGATGCATGGGCTAAGTGCAGATTGATTCCAGGAAATAAATACTGCCCTTACTTAAGATGGCAGTGGCCAGAAATGCTAATGTCCAAAATGATTTCTAAACAAAATAAAACATGAAAACATGGATGGATGGGTGAGTTTAATGAAATAACAATTTTAGTTTGTGGTTCTTACATACAATTAAGTTCCGCTTGAAGTGTAGTAGTTTTATGAAGGCCAGTAAACACTATTAGCAAATCGAAATAAAGCAAAAGGCATTAAAGAAAGACTGTTTTCAGCCTTGCAAGCTAAAATAAACAGAAAAAAAGGTCTATAATATTTACAAAAGTTAAATATTGATATTTCAATTTCCGGCTAAGGTTGGTGTCAAGACTGCTAAATGTGCAAAAACATACCCAACTCTTTACTTCGAAATTCACAAAAACTGTACTGATCAGGACATACGGAAACCGCAACATGTACCAGATGTGAAATGTACCCAGGCACTTTGCTGAATATGAAGTGGAAATGCCCAAAATATTTTAGGTATCGAAGAGATATACTAAATACTACTAACAGTGTGTTTCAGACAGACCTACCCAATGACCAAAAGATTTGTATGCTGGGACTTTTAGATGAACGAAACTACACTGTACATGAACACACTATTACTTATTTTATCTTGCATGGAAAATTATAGTTCTGACATGGATATTACCTACACCCTCCTTTCAATTAGGAAAAGCTCACATATCTACATAGAGTTGTTCACAAAACGTTTTGGAAGACTGGGAAAGGTGGTCAGAGAGACCTGATCTGGAGCCAACTCATTTGATTCTGCAAAGGGTGGTTAGGTTAGTATGGCAATGTGGGATTTGTAGCTGCTCAGAACGAGTTGGTGGGAGACCACATGCAGACAAGTAAACAACTATTTAAAGTGGTTGTCCTGGCATGAATTATGAACAAAGCATATCCCTCTATAGTGTGTGCCTATCTCAATCCAGAGCACTAAGTGGTATTTCTGTCTGCTGACTCCTACCTCTGCTGGCTTCTGAGTCACGTTTGACAAGCTTTCCTGACACCAAGAAAAAAAGGTGACAGAGAGCTCCAGAGCACAGCTTGTGATTGACAGCTTCAGGTCCTGTGTGTTATGTGAAGGGGGTGTGTCCCTTCACTCCTGTCAGCTTTCAGAGCTTCTTGTTGAGTAATGACAGCTCCCTGCCCCCTGCTTTCTAAAAAAAAAAATTAATAAATTCTGCATTTTGAATGGCTGTAGGGAAGAGAAGACTAGATATAAACAGGTACAACTTATGTAGGAGATTTTGTTTAATCTATGTATCACTTGAGGCTTTTTACTTCACTTTAAAGTGGAAGTAAACCCAATTTGGTAACTTTTACCTACAGATAAGCCTTTAACATGGCTTACCTGCAGGTACTGTAAATATCTCCTAAACATGCACCGTTTAGGAGATATTTACTGTAGAAGTGCCAGTGAGGTTACCAGCACATGCGCACAGCGCTCTCAATGGACGGCGTGCAGTCCATTGAGAGAGCCATGCCATGGCCGAAACTCCCTTCGTGCATGCATGCGCGGGAGTGGCGACATCGCGGCTCGGCCAATCAGATGGCAGCAGCTCGCAAACTCGGCAGGAAGACCAAGCGAAGATGGAAGTTTTGGGGAGCCGTGATAGTGCTCCGCTGGAGGGCTTAATTTTCAGGTAATTCTTTCATAATGCGATGCATACTAGAACATTATGCTCTTAACTTGCAGGGAGAAGATTATTTTAGAATTTTTTTAGGTGGTTTACTACGCCTTAAGCCAACATAATTTTATTGACACAACAATGCCAAACTTTGATACAGGATGCATGTCCAATTGCGCTCATGATACATAATTGTATGTATACAAGTAAACCTATCAACAGGAGTACAAACACTGTACCTTGAGCAATATTATTGTACTATAGGTTCAGGTTTACATACTATGTGAGAATATTTCCCCATGTATGGAACTGTTTGTTACTGATATGTTAATTTCAGCGATATAAAGCTACTGGCGTGGGAACTAGGGTGGGGTGTATATTTTGTATTTGCTTTTTTATTTTTAATAAGCGTGTAAAAAAATAAAATTGGTAAATATGTGAAAAAAATGCTAGTAATAATTACAAACATTAAAATTAAAGGAAATTAATATATTAAACTCTAAAGACAACGGACAGCTTGATTACTATGGCATGGTAATCAGAAAGCATGAAATGGTTATTACTAGCACCTGCTATAAAAGTTTGGGTAAAATAAATGTACCTATACATAGGTTGATTGTCAGAGAAGGTTTGCGATTGACCCTCTTGGATGATAACTTATTTATCTCATGGATTTCCACTTCCTAGTTATTTCAGACGGACAATCATTTAACGGCTGCACTGATGTTCCCCTTCCCCTGAACTTACATCTTTCGGATATACTCATCTCTGTTGATGTGGCTACAAAAGCCAAAGCGGAGAAACTTCATGTGACCTACTGTATTTTGCCTCTTGTATCGTAAAATGATGTATAAACGAGGAATTTAACCACTTGCCCCCCTGAGGATTTACCCCCCTTCCTTACCAGTCCATTTTTTGCATTATGGCGCTGTGTTACTTTAACTGACAATTACGCGGTCATGCAACGCTGCACCCAAATTAGATTTAAATCCTTTTTATCCCCACGAATTGAGCTTTCTTTCAGTGACATTTGATCGCCTGCACGGTTTTTATTTTTTGCGCTATAAAAAAAAAGGGCCAACAATTTTAAGAAAAAAAAAATAGCTTTGACTTTTTGCTATTAAACTTGTCCAGTAAAAACATTTAAAAAAATCAAATTTCATCATATATTTATGCCAAAATGTATTCTGCTACATGTTTGCTAAATAAAAAAATCCCAATACGTGTAAATTAATTGGTTTACGTGAAAGATATAGCGTTTATAAATGGCGGTATATATACTGGGATTTTGTTTCTTTTTCTACTAGTAATGGCAGCGATCAGTGACTTATAGCAGGACTGTGGCAGGCATTCTGACAATGGGGGGAACTGACTTGGTGTCACTGACATCCCCAGTGATACCAATAAAGTGATCAGTGCTAAAAAAAAAAAGCACTGACACTACTATTGGCACTGGGCAGGAAGGGGTTAACATGAGCGGCGATCAAAGGGTTAACTGTGTGCTGTTTTACTTTAAGCTCTGTGTGTGTGTTTCACTGTAATCACACTGCTTTGGATGGCTGTGCTGTGCCCCGCCATCCAAAGCAGTGGGCACAAGCTGACAGGGAGGAGAACTATTGTTTACATACAGTTCTCCTCCCCGTTGGAGATGCTCGGCAATCACCAGGTGGGACCCGGTGATTGACAGCTGTGGCCACAAATGGTAGTGTGAGTAGGGAGCGTGCGCCCCCTACCCAGAAATACAAAATCACACCCGTGCTGCCCTGTAGCAGTATAACTGCTATAGGGCCGTCGGGAAGCAGTTAAACCTTTGGGAAAACTTTCAAAAAACTTGCATTTTTGAGCTGACCATTACCGAATGTAGAAGCTACAGTAGCTGTACCATTTAATAAATTTACATCAGATTGTCAGCAATTGATTTTTATGTCAGCATCAAATTCTAGTGGTCATGTTGTGTCTGTCAAGGCTGCACTCTATGCAGCAAAGATATTCATTGATCTACCCAACCCAATCTCTCCAGTGCATTCTGGTTCTTATCATTTTAGGCCAAAACCAATAGAACATTTAATTTGGACAATGCTGGCTCCACACAAAAAGCTTTCAGGAGGAATACCAAGCAACTAGCAGGCTGCAATCTGAAAACAACATTAAGGACTAATGAACCTATGGGAAATTAAATTTAATGATATCCACCTGCATACCATACAATCATTATTTATGTAATGCTCATCACAGAACAGTGTATATGTTCTCAGCAGATACTAAAAACAAAAACCAAAGAACAATATAATCACTCAGGTTGTAACTTTTTAGCCAATTCCCAATTGGCACATAAAAGCGCTTGCAAAAAATATTGTACATTGTAAGCAGTTCACTTTTTTGTGATTGGTGGTCATCGATGCCCAGGTGTCCAAGTCAAATTTAGCAGATCCTGTATGCACTGGTTAGCTTGACTGTATCTTTATGACCAATATACTTACGTAGAACAATATACAGTTGCAAGAAAAAGTATGTGAACCCCTTGGGATTACGTGGAGTTTTGCATGAATTGGGCATAAAATGTGCTCTGAACGTCATCTAAGTCACAACAATAGAAGAACACAGTCTGCTGAACATAATACTACACAAACATTAGATGTTGCCATGGTTTAACTGCACATAACATGTAAACATTCACAGTGCAGGGAGGAAAAAGTATGTGAACCTTTGGACTTAATAACTGGTTGACCCTCTTTTTTGGCAGCAATAACCTCAACCAAACGTTTCCTGTAGTTGCAGATCAGACCTGCACAACGATCTGGAGTAATTTTGGACCACTCCTCTTCACAAAACTGTTTCAGTGTAGCAATATTCTTGGGATGTCTGGTATGAATCGCTCTCTTAAGGTCATGCCACAGCATTTCAATCGGGTTGAGGTCAGGACTCTGACTGGGCCACTCCAGAAGGCGTATTCTGTGCTGTTGCAGCCATTGTTTTGTTGAATTACTTGTATGCTTTGGGTCATTGTCCTGTTGCATCACCCATCCTCTGCGGAGCTTCAGTTGGCGGACAGATGGTCGTACGTTTTCCTGCAAAATGTCTTGATAAACTCTGGAATTCATTTTCCCATCAATGACAACAATCCGTCCAGGCCCTGAGGCAGCAAAGCAGCCCCAAACCATGATGCTCCCTCCGCCATGTTTTACAGTGGGGATGAGGTTTTGATGTTGGTGTGCTGTGCCTTTTTTTCTCCACACATAGTGTTGTGTGTTCTTCCCAAACAACTCAATCTTGGTTTCATCTGTCCCCAGTATATTTTGCCAGTAGTGCTGTGGAACATCCAGGTGCTCTTTTGCAAACTTCAAACGTGCTGCAATATTCTTTTTGGACAACAATGGCTTCCTCCGTGGTGTCCTCCCATGTACTCCATTCTTGTTTAATGTTTTCCTTATTGTAGATGTGTCAACAAAAATGTTAGCATGTGCCAGAGATTTCTGTAGGTCTTTAGCTGACACTCTGGGATTCTTCTTTACCTCATGCAGCATTCTGTGCTGTGCTCTTGCAGTCATTTTTTACAGGACGACCACGCCTAGGGAGAGTAGCAACAGTGCTAAACTTTCTCCATTTGTAGACAATCTGTCTTACCGTGGACACATGAACATCAAGGCTTTTGGAGATACTTTTGTAACCCTTTCCAGCTTTATGCAAGTCAACAATTCTTGATCGTAGGTCTTCTGAGAGCTCTTTTCTGCGAGGCATGGTTCACATCAGACAGTGCTTCTTGAAACCAGTAAACCCAAAACAGGTGTGTGTTTTTTAAGGGCAGGACAGCTGTCAACAACACATCCAATATCATCACACTGATTGGAGTCAAGGTTGGCTCACTCCTGGCTCCAATTAGCTCTGGGAGAAGTCATTAAGCTAGGGCCTCACATACTTTTTCCTCCCTGCGCTGTGAATGTTTACATGTTATGTGCAATTAAACCATGGCAACATATAATGTTTGTGTAGTATTATGTTCAGCAGACTGTGTTCTTCTATTGTTGTGACTTAGATGACGTTCAGAGCACATTTTATACCCAATTCATGCAAAACTCCACGTAATCCCAAGGGGTTCACATACTTTTTCTTGCAACTGTACACTGTGACATTGGCTAGTCAACCCTACCTTGTTTGTAAGCAAGTTTGTGATCAAGAATCATACTGACTTCTCACAATCATTGTGTCCCAGTGGCATCCCTAGGGGGGTGCAGGCCGCACCGGGTGACACCATCACAGGGGGTGCAGGATGCCGGCACAGTGACAGCTGCCCCCACCCCGGTGTAGCGGTAAAATGAGTATCCCCTGAAGCAACTGCACATGTGCCGGTTTCAGGCCGGAGAAGCCGATCGTCAGCTCTGTGCTAAAGTCAGAGATCGGCTTCTTCGGCCTGAAACCGGCACATGCGCAGTTGCTTCAGGGATACATATTTTCAAGGGATACTCATTTTACCGCTACACCAGCACTGCTCCTTCCTCTCTGGAGGGGCGACACCACGTGTTACTGCACTGGGTGACACCAACCCTAGGGACGCCTACAGGACCACTGTTAGATACAATGCTGTCATAGAACTAGTGGCCAGCATGGATGCTTGCTGATAGTTTTACAAAAGGACCTTTTTTCAGCTTTCAGATTTCAGCACGGTCACATTCTCAATGAAATTTTGCGGTCATGCAACACTTTACCCAAATTACATTTTTATAATTTTCAAACAAATAGAGCTTTCTTTTGGTGGTATCTAATCACCACTGTTTTTTTATTTTTTGCTAAATAAACGAAAAAAAAAAAGGACCAAACATTTTGAAAAAAAAAAATTTCTTTGTTTCTGTTATACATTTTGCAAATAAATAATTGTTCTTTATAAATTTGGGCCAAAATGTTACTGCTACATTTCTCTGGGGAAAATAACCTAAATCAGTGTATATTATTTAGTCTATTTTGCAAAAACCATTGCACAGAGTTGGTACAGTGCTGTGAAAAAGTATTTCCCCCATCCTGAATTTTTTTTTTATTGCAAATTTGTCACACACAAATTATTCATATCAAACAAATTTTAATACTACACAAAGACAACCCGGGTAAATACAGAATGCAGTTTTTAAATGACGATTTCATTTATTAAGGACAAAAAGCTGTCCAAACCTGCCTGGCCCTATGTGAAAAAGAAATTGCCCCATAAACCTAATAGCTGGTTGCGCCACCCATTGCGGCAACAACTGCATCAAGCATTTGCAATAACTGGTAATGCGTTTTTCACATCGATGTGGAGGAATTTTGGACCACTCTTCTTTGCAGAATTGTTTTAATTCAGCCACACTAGAGAGTTTTTGAATATCGATGGCCTGTTTTAGGTCATGTCACAGCATCTCAATCGGATTTATGTGCAGACTTTGACTAGGCCACTCCAAACCCTAATTTTGTGTTTTTTTAGCCATTCAGAGGTGGACTTGCTGGTGTGTTTCAGATCATTGTCCTACTGCATAACCCAAGTGTGCTTGAGCTTGAGGTCACAAACTGACGATCGGACATTCTCCATTAGGATTTTCTGGTAGAGTGCAGAATTCATGGTTCCTTCAATTATGGCAAGTCATCCAGGTCCTGAAGCTGCATACTACCACCACTATGTTTGACTGGTGATAAGATGTTCTTTTTATGAAATGATGTCTTAGTTTTACAGCAGCTGTAACAGGGTGCACACCTTCCAAAAAGTTAAACTTTTGTCTCATCAGTCCACAGAATATCTTCCCAAAAGTCTTGGGGATAATCAAGATGTTTTTTGGCAAATGTGTTTTGGCAAGACTTTGTGTTCTTTTTGGTCAGCAGTGGCTTTAGCCTTGGAACTCCCATGGATGCCATTTGTGTCTAGTCTCTTTCTTACTGTTGAATCATGAACACTGACCTACCTGAGGCAAGTGAGGTATGCAGTTTTTAAGATGTTGTTCTGGGTTCCTTTATGACCTCTTGGATGAGTCGTCGTCATGCTCTTGGGAGTAATTTTGGTAGGCCGGCCACACCTGGGAAGGTTCACCACTGTTCCAAGTTTTCTCCAGTTGTGGATAATGGCTCTCACTGTGGCTCGCTGGAGTCCCAAAGCCTTATAAATGGCTGTGTAGCCCTTTCCAGACTGATAGATGTCCATTAATTTGTATCTCACCAGGTTTGGAAAGCTTTTTTCCCTTAATAAATGAACTGCATTTTGTATTTAATTGGGTTATCTTTATGTAATGTTAAAATTTGTTTGACGATCTGAGTCATTTAAATGTGCCAAATATGCAAAACAATTCAAAATCAAAAATAAAAGGAAGGGGGGCAAATACTTTTTACAGCACTGTAAGAAAGACATGTTTGTTGTATTTATTTTTTATCCTTTACAATCACGTTCATTTTTGGCAACATACTTTCGAGGACTCTTGGATTCCAAAAGGGATGCAGAAGGTACTGCTTATCAAGCGAAGACTGCTCACGTGGTTAAAATGAAGGCATTCAGTTTGTGAAACAAACATGTTAAGTTTGCAATAATTTCTTCAGAAACAGAGAAAATTAAGAATATGCCCAAAAAAAAAAATCTTTGTCCCCTTTACATTT